GTGCATCGCTACTAGTAACAAGTGCCTTACTAGTAGTAACAAGAAGCTATTAGTAACAAGTGCCACGCTACTAGTAACAAGTGCATCGCTACTAGTAACAAGTGCCTTACTAGTAGTAACAATTGAAGGCGTCTTCGTCTCTCCCATCATCCTCCCGGGCCGTTGGGACCTCCAACGACTTCCGACCCTTTTCGGCGATGTCCAAACGTCACCGTCCGAACGTCACGCGTCTTTCATCGCCGTCTCAGCGGTGAGGACGGTCACTTCCGCCGAGGCTCGATGTGGGGTGAGGGATTGGTGATCGCAGAACTCCCGTGTTGGCTCATGAAATACCTCACCTGGCAGTCAGAATCCCTACTCTAGGGATCTCTAGGGGTTTTCAGTGAGTGACTGGACTCTCAGGGGTGATGGAAATTGGATGAAATTGGCTTCGCAGTCAAACTCAACATATGTGGGTCTAGAAGCTCAGGGAACATCTAGGTCTGCCGAAGTGTGCTGAGTCTGTCTAGTTTGCTTCTGTCTTTGGATCTTTGGGTTATCCTTTTCTGAATGTGTGAACGAACTATTCAAGGCAATTAGAAAGCTGCTCACACGAAGTTGAAGTTCAACTGCTATAAATGACTGAATCATTAAGGTTTCCCCTGTGGGAAGTGAACGAAACTTTCCTTTTGGTAGTTTTTGATGGTCACAAGAAGATTGGCCATGCAGTCTGTTCATGTGCCGTGTAGCGTTTGTATGTTGAAACGAAATGGCCCAGCCCAGAGAACTACACTGGATCGGGCCGGAACCACAGGTCTTGTACATGGCTGGTGGATATGACGTGGATGGCTACCGCCGTGGCCTTAGTGGTGTTGAGTTCCCATCCGAAAGAGTGTAATCCCCGGCAAAGCTGGGTGGCCAACATAGGCATCTCTGCTGTGGCGTGTTTCGCTGGTTCAACTAAAGCACTGGACTTTCCTTGAATGGAGAGGTTCAGAGAGATTCATTCTTGCTATATAGGGGCTGTTGGCTGTCATTGTCAGAAGTTGTCATTCTTTGCACACTAGCATTCTCCCCAACTATATAATCACTGCAATCCCGCCCTTTAGTGAGCATACCTTAGCCTTTGGAAGGCCAATCAACTGGATTTCCACTTCCGTCGCTGTCCTAAAATTGATCTGCTATGAGGATTGTCAATGACAGCTGTTCTTTGTGAACCAAGTACTACCCTCGAGTACTAACCGTGAATGGGACATTAGTGGGACTCGGTGGTGTTTGTGTTTGTTGTTCTAGTGTGACACAGATTCAAACATATTCAAACCATTGACCCCTCCAAACTCCGGCTGTGGCCACTTTGAGCATCCGTAGGGGATTATATAGTATCCTCCGGCAAACTTCTGAAGACAACTCCAGGGTCAGAATCGTCCAACAAATTCCAACAGAGGTACATGATTCCTGTCGTGGTTTGCCAGGTGTTGGACAACAAATGCGTTGTTTGTTTCTTTCCCCTTTCCTTCACTGCTTTGTTCACTGCCATTCAAGAATTAGTTGCACCTCGGATGTTTGACCTACACACATACATGTGAGGACCAATGCCAGGATTTCACCGATGTGTGCGGCAATCAGGACATGATCTGCCGCGTGAAACGATGTTTGCCACCGCACAGAGCTTCCTGCAGGTGGAGCCAAGTGGGCGCCAGTGGAAGGGTTGGATGTTGCTCTTGGATGGGATACACACTCCTGGAGTTTCTTATCCATTGGCTGGCTTGCTATTGGGCCCAAAATGTTGAGCTCGCGGCCGGACCCTCATTTGTGCAGCGGTGTTTTAGGGATGATATGGGATTATATTTTAGGAGCTTGTTGGGTGTGAACCCTGCATCGTACGGAAGCGTGACCCACTGCTGCATGTCTGTGAAGATATGACCTATCGGCCAGCAGTTACCCCGAATTTTGGAGCTTAGATTGCAGCAGTTTTGCCGTGAAACCTGCCAAATTTGGACGACGGATCTTTTTGGCTGAGGGCTACGTTGCGGCTAGATTGGTTTGGCGGGAGGATCAATGCAATCAATGCTGTTTATTCACTTTGGTTTGAGTTTACTTATTCCTTGTTATCTACTAAACCTGTGTGTGTGACTTGTTTTGGTCGCCCCAAGGAAGTTTTGATAATCTGGCCGATCAACGTAGACCAATCAAAGAACTTGGAGGTGGATGATAGATATCCCCAGTTCTACATGCCGAGCATTCCACTTCCGGCCCTTCTCCAGGCACCTGCAAAGACTCGCGTGACCGTATGAGACACGGTCTATGGATGTCTATGGCGGAAGCCGACGTTTTGCTCGCGGTCCTCATTGTCCCCAGGACGGTGCCAACCTATTTGTAGCTTATCAGCCATGGAGCACACACCAGATGGCCCACCTCCTGCTCCCAGCACCTCCTGAAGTGTTCAAGAAATCCATCCAAAAAGCTGGTGACACCTTTGACGACTGCTGGACACAAAGGAATTTCCCTAATATATATATATATATGTTACAATATATATATAACAAAAACAATATTATGAATAAATATAGTTCATAATAATAATAGTAATAATGACAACATAAAATGATTCTTTCATGTATATATAATATAATGCATGTATATATATATATTATAATGATATTATATATATATATTATAATAAATATAAGTTTGGTTTAATGTGTTTTATAAGTGTTGTATTTGTGATTGTGTGATTGTAATTGAATATTTATGATTATGGATGTGGAATTTATATATTACGAAAATTAGTTTTCGTTTGCCGAATTACGGGTGATGAACGAAATGAAAAGGAATTATATATAATACGTAAATTTAAAATTAGGTGGAGAAGAGGGGAGGTATAATTGATGTTATGCTAAAATAATTAGAATTTAATTATTAAAAATATTGTTTTTATTATTCGTTAATTTATATATATATATAAATTTATGAATATTATTTATAAATTAAGAAAGGAATTGAATTTTATATTATATATTGTGTGTATTTGTCCCGGAACATATTTTGTTTATTTTTTTTTTTCTTCTTTTCTTTTTTGGATTTGCAAAATTTGGTTTTGGTTTTAAGGATGGATCGATATTGTTTTTTGTTTTTTTTTGGCGCGAGGATTATTTTTTTTTAGCTTTAGGATAGGTCGAAAGCCCGAATTATATAACGACCTTATTAGATTGTCGGGCGAAACACTACGAGACATGGTAAAAGTTGGTTTAGATCTCGTTTGATTTCGGAATTGGGATAATCGATTGAAAAGGTTGTATACTAAGGGCTTGTTTTATATCCTTGGATATTGGTATTATGTTTTATAAATGCCTTTTCGTATTCGGCAATTGTGGATATAGCGCCGTAGATTGACCCGGAATGCATTTAGATTCCTACACGATATTAAATGGCTCGATTGATATTGATCGATTCCTATTCGATATTATTATTGTACAGGAGATTGGATGGAGCATGATTAGTGAATGGATTACCCCTGAATGGCGTGTGATGCATGGACTAGATAGATTTGCTTCTGTCCTTGTAATGGACCGTATTACATTTGATCTTTAGGGAGGCCATTTCGGTTGCATATCACATACCCGGCAGGATCCTGCAAGTTAGATTGCAATTGTATCGTCCCCACGACATATACCCCGTGTATTAACATGCATGGAATTTAGGTGGGATATTAAATATGCCAAGGCCGTTTAGACCGATAAAGCCCTGTTCCGATCCTTTGTTCAGGACTACCACTTGGCAGCTGTTCATACGAGAGTTTTTCATCCCACCTTTGTGCATGGTAATCATAATATCCGGATTGATTTTGTGTTCATGGGAAAGGAACAAATCTCCTGGCGTATTCTGCAACCGAAATATCATCCAGATTTTGATTTTTTGTTTGGCAATTAAGGCCCGAGATGTTATGCTCTGAGCTTGCACTTGTCAAAATGGTTTCTAATTCCTAACCCCAAGAACCATGAGGATATTAACCGATTTTGCCTTCGTCAGGCCTGGACCCAGACCACCAAGCAGTGGGCCCAATTCATGGCTCAGGCACGTCAGGTCATTACACAACAGGAGCCTTCGATGTCACCGATAGATCGTAATCTGTCCCTGGAAAGAAGTCTTGTTCAGATATGTAAGAATTGCTTTCCGTCGGTCCGACGGTAGGCTCCGCTAGATCCTGCCTTTCGATCTCTCACTGCCCAGATGTGGCTGGCGCGTAAGGCTGCCCTTGCATTGCATGATCGTAGTGTGAAATCGATGTTTCAAGGTTGGTTTATAAGTGTTGTATTTGTGATTGTGTGATTATAATTGAATATTTATGATTATGGATGTGGAATTTATATATTACGAAAATTAGTTTTCGTTTGCCGAATTGCGGGTGATGAACGAAATGAAAAGGAATTATATATAATACATAAATTTAAAATTAGGTGGAGAAGAGGGGAGGTATAATTGATGTTGTGCTAAAATAATTAGAATTTAATTATTAAAAATATTGTTTTTATTATTCGTTAATTTATATATATATAAATTTATGAATATTATTTATAAATTAAGAAAGGAATTGAATTTTATATTATATATTGTGTATATTTGTCCCGGAACATATTTTGTTTTGTTTTTTTCCTTCTTCCTTTCTTTTTTGCATTTGCAAAATTTG